GCAGCTGCAATTCACTGGCTTAACAGTTTAGCTAGGTCAACACTTCTGTAGGCACTGGAAGGCAAAAAGTGTAGAAGAAAAGAAATGTAGAAAAAGATGATCTTGCATGAACTATGATATTATTGGGCAGAGAAGAGGAACCAATTACTCACAAAGACCAGCTGAAGGCAATGCAAGGTATTAGCTTTCATAATTGCAAAACACCAGTAATGAAAGTTTGATGCCACCTAAGGCTACTCAAAAGGGTTTCAAACACATCACTAAAAAAACTGCATGGAGGCATAAACTGGTATGATTCTCTACAGATTTTGCACACTAAATTTAAGATAACCAAGGTTTGAGGGACACATCTTCCATTTCACTATCACTTCCCTTGAAGACTTACAACCTGATAATATAAGTGTTAATACTAATTCCACTATTTTTGTGGAATTGCTTCTTGTGAGTAAAGATCACTCAAGTAAGCAAAAGATTTTCAGAAGATAAAACCCTCAAAATGTACCTGGCCACTCAACAAGATGGTTACATTTCTTCTACCATGTCCTCTACTTGAGGCAAGAAGTAGAAAAGTTGTCCACTGTATATCAAGCTAAGTATACAGAAACTGAATAACTACTCCTGCTGTCCCTTATTAGGAAAATGTTTCATCCTTCTGGAAATAAAAAATGTGAACACTCATTTTTACTTATGGTATTTGTGTAGTTTTAGCAGAGGGCTTTCATCCTGACGTCCTGAAGAGCGGGCTCCTTCAGCAAGCCAGCTTCAGGACAGCAGAACGCTGTACTGTAAAGAGCGCGTTCAGAACTTTGTCAGACTGACTCGCTCTATGGAGGGGCTCCAGCCACGGTGTTTTGAAATGTAGCAGCAGAAGGTGCTGGAATTCATCTGTCTTGGCAGAACTTAGATTTCAGTTGATATGAACCTCAATTTGGCACAGGTTTTTGTTTCATAAAAACCTTCAGAAAATTCACATACCACATTATCTTAGTGACATATCGCTGCACAAACATGAAGTTATGCACAGCTGTGGTACCTATGACTATCAAACAAATTATGAGCAACGTAACAAATTAACACAAGCCAAGAAGAGCCACCCATCTATTGCCTGACTATTTGCAAGAGTCCTTTGTGTAGCAACAGGAAAATGCTAGAGTGAATGTCACAAAACTAAAAAATAACATCTTTTGCTCTGGCATGGTTTCACAAAATGGGTTACATCTGCTGTAACAACTCCTCAAGAATAACATTTTTATTTGCCTTCACTAGCTAAGGAATCTAGCTGCCTAGTATGACAATAGGAAATAAATATACAAAACCAACCCAATTCTTTCACAGGGCTGTCAAATCAAGACAGAAGTCCCGGAATCGATCCTAGAATGCTTTGCCAATTTTAGTACGTGATAGAAGTATTTATTTTCTTCCATGACACTTCTGTATCAGTAAAAGCTCCAATAAAAATGCAACTTAAACAGAAATTCTTTTGCTGGAAAACTTGATACTGATTTGGTGGATCTAATCATCTGTATGAACAAAAAGTACTTTTTTGCACTAGTATAGCCACACAGCATTAGAGACAGACCAAAAATGTTTTTCTAGGGTAGACTTCACATCTCATGTTAGGGACATACCAGTGCTTATATATAAAAAAACACGTAGAGGTTTTCATTATTAACTGTGACTGACCACATCCTGATAGGACATCACAACCCTATCTTAAAAAACAAACAACCCTAAACAATTAAACCAAAACAACAAAAACCCCAAACCTACCCCTACCCACCCCAAATTCTCAACTATGGATTTCATACTGCTTCACCAACACAGACCAAAGGAAGTCTCAGAGCAGACTTCTTCCATTAAAAACACTTTTCAGCCCACATTCTAGCAGCTTCGAAAGCATGTGACTTTTCACAACTGCTGTTCAGCTTCTCTGGACACCAGGGAGACAGTACCTTCTCTTTAACAACTTCAGAGGACAAAGAAACAACGAGGCTGCATGCTCCAGTGGTAAGAGATCACCGAACACCTGAAATGCAGGCGATTTCATCAAGTCCTCCTTCATTTGAGTCACAGCATTTTTCTATCTTGCCTAATCCATCAAGTCAAATAGCGGCAGTTAACACAGTATCTGACCAATTAGATGAACTTTAGGAGGAAACCATTCAATGGCATTTCGCTCCTTTGTGCACATAACATATTTTGGCAACTAAGGGGTGTGATTTAAAGATTCTGCAAGGAGGAAGAGAAAGAAGTGCGTTTACTTAGTGGTCTCTGCAATTTTGCATGTCGTTTGTTTTTCTGCTGAAGTAGCAAGTGCTTGAATAAGCCTTATAAGATGAAAGCTCCAAAAGTTTTTGCCTTCCAATAACAACCACATGTTTCCTTTTGAAAGCCTGGGACACAATAAAATAAAAAGCTCAGCTAATTTTTACTGATGCTGTCAGTTTGTCTTTCTGAAATATTTTAATGTTGCCTATTTTTTTGAGATACTTTTTGACAGCTTAGGTTCTAGGAAAGGTACAGTGTGATTAACTAACCTTTATTTATTCAAAGAGGTATACAACTGCATTTAGTGAAGTGCCTAGGGCCAATACAGGACAAGTATCTGCTGATGAAAGTCTTCACTCTCATAGGACTCAGCAACTGAGAGGACACGCGAGCAATGCTCCAACCCAGCTTGTTCAGAACTAGTCCCACACCCAGACCTACCCAGGGAACTCGGTCCCATACCTGCAGCCCATTGAAGTGCAATTGCCTCTCGAAAACCTCTCTCTCTCAGTGGGTATCCCCCGTACATCTTAGGCCTCTGGGTTGAAAATACCACGTTCTGGTCAGGTAGGACTTCTGGTTTACAACAACCCAGAAGCTATACGTCATTGTCAACCCAGTATGAACTGTTACCAGTTGTGAGCTATGGCTCAATTAGGAGGCCCACAGCAAAAGACCATGACTTTCTGCTGGTTCAAAGTTTTCAAGTCACCTGTTAATTTTGCCAGGCTGCATTAAACAACTAAAACAAGAGATGGGAAGCAGTCTGCAGCTAGGGCAGCAGTTTGTATCAACAGGACAAGCATAGCTGCTTACAAATCAGGAATTAAAGATGCAGTGTCTTTAGAAGTTAATTTAAAAACCACAGAAGCTTTACGTTACACACCTGAACTTTTATTTCTTCAGGTACCAGTTAAAAAAAATTCCCTAAAAAACCTCACAGGCTCTCCCTGGCACACATTTAATCAACTCAGACAGTTCTCCAGTCTCTTACACGCTGCTTCACTGAGCCATCTACATATATTTCCTAGAAGTCAGTTTGCTTATCTGTATCAGAGAGGTACAACTACAAAGACAGCTTGCTGCTGTGGGGTAACAGAAATCTCTGGTAGATAAAAATCAAAAACATCATTAAGATACTTTACTCTGGAAGCTTCAGGCAGGTTCTAAATTATGATCAAGACATTACATAATGGAATGATTCATTAAAACAAGTTCCCATTTCTTCACAAGTCAGTGCTAATCTTCAACTAATATCATTAATCAATCACACTGCACTTATTTTGAAACTTGGCAGCATTTTGTAGAATGCAAAATGCATTTGAAGCAGCAAAACAGAATCTTATTTCCGATTTTTTGGAGAGCAGTATTTCTGAATGTTTGCTCTAACATAATGATGTCACTGTGTACTGCTCTATTGGACATTGCTATCCAGTTGTAACATCTAGCAATTTGTAGAAGCAAACAATTATAGATATACAAAACTAAAATCCTAGAATTCACTACAGTTCTGTATTGTGTTTGACCAACTCTACAGACAAAGTTTAAGTACCATGTCCAGTTCGGGGCTCCCCAGTACAAGAGAGACACGGACATACTGGAGGGAGTCCAGTGAAGGGCCACGAAGATGATGAAGGGTCTGGAGCATCTCTCCTATGAGGAGAGGCTGAGAGAGCTGGGACTGTTCAGCCTGGAGAAGAGAAGGCTCCGGGGGATCTCACTGGCGTCTGTAAACACCTGCAGGGAGGGTGCAGAGAGGATGGAGCCAGGCTCTGCTCAGTGGTGCCCAGTGACAGGACCAGAGGCCACGGGCACAAACTGAAACACAGGAGGGCTCTCTGAACATCACGAAATGCTTTTTACTGTGAGAGTGACCGAGTCCTGGCACAGGTTGCCCAGGCCGTTTTAGTATAAAAGAGAACAGTAATGCCAGACAAAAAAACCCAAGTGATTTGTAGAACAGAAAATAAAGATGCATGTTATTCTAACAATAAATAAAATAAATAAATAAATAATTATTACATATGTGAATGTTAGTCTGACCCCTCGTACAGTGTTTTAACAACTGGAAATCTAGAAAGCAGAAACTTTCAGCAATGACTGTGCTTGGTACCTCACCAGGATGCCTGGTTCAAAGCAGATTCAAAAGAAACTCAATTTTTATTGGCAGTCTTCTCGATGAGAACTAATTAAACCAAAGTTTCCTAAAATACGGCTGTAAGTATTAAACCACACAGCTATCTATAACTAAATCCCTAAGAACTGCATCTCTCTATAAACAGCTGTTGTTATGACTAGACAGTAACATTTAATACAGCAGCATACAATGACATCATCATGTAAGAGCAAATATTCATGAACACTCAAATGAAAAAACGCAAAAAGGGAATAAATTGGAAACAAGATTCTGTTTTCTCTCTTTCAAAGAGGAGATATGTAATGAAAAAAGTTGTAACAGATTTTTAAGAGGGAACTTGTTAAATTAAATTACTTTTTTAAAAAAAGTTTTTTTCAATAATCAAGATTGAAAGAGCCTTGATCCCTAGCATCCAACCACAATACCGCCAGCTTTCCTATTAAACACTTAGCAGATTATACTAAAGAAACCTTCCAAATGACATTTCTGAAAGTTTAACTTGAAATAAGCTTTAGTATTTTTCCACAGCTTAGAAAGACAGAACGAAATCTTTGTCTTCAGAAATAAAAGCTGAGCCAGAGTGGCAAAAACCCACTATTGTTTGTGTATTCTTTGTCTGAAAACGCAGTGGTAAATTCAGAAATCAAGTTCCTCAGACTTCCTACCTTATCACTTTTTTCCCCAGATTTCTTCTTCTTAGGATTGTCCTTCCAAAGAGATTCTACAGCGATATATCCCTGAAGACTCCAGTCATACAGATGTGTACCAGCAACCTTTGAAACAAAAGATATTAGAAAGCATGAACTTAATAATCTGGGAAATATTATTTTGCTTCTTGGTTAAATGGAAGAAGTCTCAAAACACAAGATCTTTAACACCTTCTGTTCAAGATCAGGGTGTAGAGCATTAATAAACATCTTGGGGAAAAAAAAAAAAAGACGACACACAAGGAATAAGAAAAGCCAGCTTGCTAAAAAACTGTTTGAAGACGACTGGAGAATATATCTGTATAAAAAAGGGTGGAATGATGCTGCATGGAAACAATTCTTGTTTTCTTAGTATTTGATGTTCAACAGATTTAACATACGCAAATTATTTCTTAATTTGACCAAACTAATTTTAAAGCCCCCAAAAACCCAACCTACTTGGTTTGTCACTATTTTGCAATTTTACATTTCCACTGCTTTGACAGAACAGTAAGAATATCCCTTGGTTTCTTTTTATTTGCTATTTAAAAGAAAGAATTTGCTGATAGATGTCTGTAACGAATTACCAGCTATCAACTCAAAACAGAAGACAGCTAAGAAAGATGGTGTTTGCTATATTACACCGACAGGTAAGCTGACAACAGGAAAAACCTCTAAGTCTAATAAAAGAATATCTCCTGCCTCTTACATGACACGGAACTGTAATATTCACAGCATCCTTTAAAACTCAAGAGTGTTAGGTTTTTACAGCTCCAGGCTCAGGTCAGTACTCACACTTGTATCACTATCAGTTTTCTCACAAATAAAGAACAGCAAAAATAGACAATTTGTCCAACTAGACAGCTATTAAACTAAAAAACTTAGAATTCAAGAAATAAGAAGGTACTACCCTACTTTCCACAGCAGGCAAAGCTGGAAAAACAGAACTACGAGAACAGGGCAAGCATAAACGATGTTTCTGAAACAGTTTTTTGATGTTTCTGAATGAAATTTTTTAAGTTTCTTCCAGTCTCCAACAATTTGCTGCTCAGAGATATCCTGAGCCAGAGGTGATTTCAATGCGTACAACAACGCCCAGGGAATTTCCCTATGACTTTGTTGCACTTCTCCTTGAGCCCCACGCAGATTTTTAGTATCCACAACCTCCTGTGCCAACGAGCTCTACCGTAGGGCACACATGGTGTGAAGAACCACTTCCCTTTGTTTGCCTGAACAAAATTAAGTACACCAGTTAGGTACCACAATGGTGAGGGATGTGCTTCTGGGCAGAGATCATGTTATTACCTTACAGAAGAGGCTATTTAATAATTAGAATTAAAAGAAAACAAACCCAAATCAGCAACTACATTTCCAAGTTACAATTAAATCCAAAACACAGGCTATTTTAAATACAAAGAGCTAGCATATTTGTCAGCACATTTGACAATTACAGTTGTACTTCGGTTTTAAACAAGTCAGTATGATGCACTGAGTCTTCTCTATATTTGAAGGCAATAAAGGTCATCGGAAAAAAGCACACCCAGGATGAAGATGTCAAATCTTCAAAATCCCTCAATTCAAACATTACAGGTATAGACAGTTGTCTTCTTTTTCAGTATGAGGAGTGTTTATTCTCAAGTACTTCAAGAAACTAGTTCTGAAAGTCAGAGGAGTCTATGGTTCGCCTGGAAAAACACTGACCAGTTGTGCAAGCAGTACAAACCTACTAGGACTGAAAAATAACCACAATAAATAGAGAGGTTTTTGTCTGCAGTGTTACTGGGGACACTGCTATCAACATAAAATGAGAAACAATACAACTATGCATAAGCCTTTTCTTGTTCCTGCTTAAAAATACTCCATTAAAATACTTAAAAACACTCTGAATACCTAACAGGACCGTTGTGGTTTAACCCCAGATGGCAACTGAGACCCAC